TGGGGTCTCAGGAGTTTAAGCTTACCACTGAAGAGCAGTTTTGAAGCGTGCCTGGCTATTCCTGCTTGCCATACCCAGAGCCTGGATGCAGGCTCTGGATTGTATAGGTTTTTCATTTTGGGTTGAGTCTGCTGATGTGGGAAGGTGCATATTGGATCTGTGTGGTAAGTACTTGGTTTTCTTTACTTTCTGTTGGTTTTGTGGGCCTGGTTTTCACATCTGGTTGTATCTGAGGACTTGTGCTGTTGGTCGAGTCAGTTGTTGGTTTTTAGTTCTGATGGTTGTGGTCGGTTGCTGAGGTTCTTGCCATCGGTTCTCTGGTTCAGAACAGGCCGTGCCTTGGAGCCCTTGATTGGATAGCACTTGTTGGCTTCCTCCTCTCGGATGTCTTTTGTTCCGAGGTTGATTGAGGTTGAGTGTCCCCGTTATCTCTGTAGGCCCCATGCTGTCTGCATACAGTAGCCCGAGGTGTAAAAGCTGTCTCAGGCCAGGATCTGTTGGGTTTGGTTAATTATTCTTTTAGAAAGGAGGTATGAATTGGGATTCCAGATTGAACAGTAGTTCCAGATAGCAATCTCCATTCTCAGGCTTGCTGATTGTGTTATGCATTCCCACAGAACTCAATCCAGTGGCCCCTTTTCAAAGAAGTTTTCAAGAGCCCAGGATTTAGATATTGGGGATTTTTACTTCTTCCTAAGATTATGTAGAAAAAAATTGAAAATGTCTGGAGTTGTGAGATAACTGTTGACCAGGAAAATAAAGCCCTAACAGACCAGGGATGTTTGTAATTTTCTCTTTTGCCACCAAATTGGCTTGAGCTAACAAGTCCCAGACCTTTCAAGAGAAAGTTTTTAGAATTGGCTGCAAGGAAGAAGCCAACTTTCAAGAACCTGTTAAGGAAACAAAGAATTTCAGGGGACAAGACATAACAGAATGTGGAAGGCTCATTGGAGTTTTAGTCTAAAGAATTTGTGACTGTGTTATTACGCTTTTTGATGTTAAGATAAAAGAGGTTATCTGAGCTGTTGTATATTTTATAGTGCTTGGTTTGTCTATTTCAATAGAAAGTTCATTTATGGTTTGAAAACGTGAAATCTTGTGGTACTTTTCTTTCTTTCAAGCGATCACTGGGTGGTTTGATTTCTCTTGTAAACATTAGTAGCCTTTATGGGGATTGTAACACTTAAAGATCATCAAAAGCCCATGGAGAAGTGTACAACAGCCTGGATCAACCATCGTATTAGCAAAACTGCAGTAATTTGTTGATTCTGTTTCAGTCTTTATCTGTCTGCCATCTCTGGGACAGTTCAATTGCATGCAGTCCATTTTATTCCAGTGATGACTTGGACAGGCATGAGCATGGCATTCTTATAACATAACTGAATTCAATACTACTAAAGAGTGTTATTTAAATTAATTGGCTGGCAGATATGAATTAATGTGTGGATCAGAATTTCCACCCTTAGTATTTGCTGGTTTCAGACCTGAACTTCACATCTCGGACTCATCAAAAAATTTGGTCTGTTCCAGAACAAGCACTCAAAACGCCAATTGACCGGCCAGTGAGGAAAAATATATACTTGAGCATTGACGGTTTCTCAATTGTTTGCTCTTCTTGGGGTAAAGTAACATAATTTTCATTGATCTATTTGGTTTGTGTGTCCTGATGTTATGATATTACTTAAAAAAGCATTCATTCAGCAAAGATGAGGTTTGCAAGGTGAAAGTATAAATCTGGCTTCCAAGGTGGAAGCAAACTTGGAAGTGATTTGTTCTTGAGTTAGTGATAATGAGAGTATGAACGCTTAGAAAATCACTTAAGATTTATCGTGGTTGTGACAACTACATTTATCAGATTTTGACTTAAAATAATGACAATTAATGTTACTACATTCCATATTATTTATATTACTGAGTGTGCACATATCTCTTAGAGTGGGACTACTATGTTTTTAGGTGGCCACATTCAAAATCAATTCCTGTGCAAATTATTTTAATTTATAAGTACATTGCTATTCACTTACAGGTAAGTTGTTAAAACATAAGAATGCATTAGTATCTAATGGGAGAACTTTGGGAATAATGAGAAATGCATTAAAGAATAGATTAGATCACATGTAAGCCATATAGCAGTGTAGCGGAACTGCATACCAGTAATGAAGGCAACTTCCCAGATGTGCAAAGGAAGTAGTGGTTCTAATAAGAGTTGAGTCTGTCATTTTCTGTATTTTTGCTTCCTATTGATTCTTCTTCTCACTTAGTATTTTTGCTTGAACTGATTAGAACACTTGATAATTCTTTCACAGCAATAATGATGTTTAACCTTTGAGGGAAATACAAAGACATGCAATTGAAATTCTAATCTCCCTACTAATAATGCAGAAGTGTAGACAATTCTTAAGAGTTAATTCAAAGAAATGCGAAACATAAATTTTGATCAAACTTGAGGTGCTTTATTTCTTGTGATTTTTGAATGATGGGGCATATTTTAAGTGAATTGTGACTACCTTAACAATATCAGGATCAGTTTGAAAAGATCCCACATTTATTTGGTAATTTCTTCATATTTTCAATGAATGTCATTGTAGTTTTATCTCAAACTTGGCACCATTTCTCACTGAAGATAGGAAATGTCCTAAAATCATGCCATTGCAATAATTGGAGCTCGAGATGTTGTTTTAAAACCTGTTTTTCCAAAAGTAACATGATAAAGCTGTGATTTGTTTTTGTTGTTGGTTGGTGAAAGGATAAAAGCTGATTTCATTTTGAAACTGAGGCAAAGAAACTCCAGACACACAGTGAATATTGAAAGCGTACATTCATGCGCACAGTTTCAGTGATACCAAGACTAAGGTTGAGTAACCTTGTTAAATGCAGATGTTCTTAATATGATAATATTGCAGACAATCTGTACAATTAATCTATTTTAATGCAACATTGCACTTTAGCATCAACTGTTGCACATTTCTGTCTGACTTGGAAAAGCACTTGTTCTACAGTGGTGATGTGCATCTTGAAGTGTCACTTTTATTTATTTTAACAATTAACATTTGTTGCCTGTAGTTAAATAATAATTTACTGAATAAGAGCTTGTTAGTATTTTATGATCATGGAAACTTGCAATACTTCTGAAATTGCCATAGATGTCGTACATAAATTGTGTGTGTGAGTGTAGTGTTGTCATTTTGCTTTTTGTGCCTTGTTGGACTCTTATTTGTTCACAAAGTTTGCTAATTCAAGTTTTTGTTTTCTCTGAATTTACTCAAATATTTGGATTATAATTTGATCTTTCTTTGTTCTCTGCATGATGATGGTGATGCCATTATATTGAAACATTTGCATCTTCACAAATGGTCAATAACATTTTAGCTCCTCAACAGATCAAAAAAAAAATGTCAAACCCATTTGTCTCATTTCACAGGATAAGCAGCTGAATCCATTGGATACAATACAGGCGAAGTAGAGGCCCACCAATATTTAAGCTGCAATGCTGAAGACCCAAGCTAGTGCAGTTGCTAGTTGAGCTACCGCAAAACAAATATATCAGTTTCCCTTAAATCATTGACAAATTAACAGAAGAAATGATTGCCAATACCATGGAGTAACAGCAACTAGCAAATATCTGTATAATAAAAGCAAAATATTGTAAATGCTGGAGATTGGAAATACTGAGCAGGTCAGATAGCATTTATGAAGAGAGAAACTGAGTTAATGTTTCAAATCAGCAAAACCCTTCACATTTTTGATGTTTCAGATTGACCTTTCAATGAACAAGTTTAATGCTTTCTCCGCTCCCAAAGAAAACTTGCTGGCAGAAGGGTGCACGTTGTAGATACTGATGCCTTGTCAACTCTTCCTTCCCCTCCCCTCCCCATATACCATTTTAAATTCAGGGTGGAAAGGGTGGATGGCAGTTTTCCATCCCAGAGGACAACTGAGGGCCTTCAAGTGAAGGCATCCAGATTTGGGGAGCAGGAACTCATCAAAAGCTGTGCCTCTACCCTTGTTCTGATCATCTTGCCCCATTCCCTACCTAGTGGCAAAACCATCCCTATTACACCTTTCCTGCCCAGACTCCCTCCAGTTTAAGGGTGCATGGCCAATTATCCCTACATACCTGATTGTAGGACCAGTAATGGCCAGTGCTCTCGATGGTGTTCTTATGGATGGATTTGTACCATGCTGGAGTTCTAATTGAATAAGAGGCTAGATATTGTCCAGACAAGTATCTGATTACCTGGTAATTTCATCATGCCACCTGATGAGAAGCTATGAGCTGCTGCCAGAGGTTGGAGAAAATGTATGTGAGACTTGCACCCGTTAAGTTCCATTCAGAACCATTCTGTTGCTGTAAATATCATTTGATCTGTTGAGAAATTCCAGTGTTTTGTATTCCTTTTGTTGATTAATTTTTCAATTTAGCTTCAACTAGAACAACTTAGTACCAGATCTCACGATAGCCTTGATGTAGATGTGGAAAAAAGAGTGGTGTTTCAGTAGGGAGTTTACAGTAGCTGATTTTGACATCAAAACAGTTCTCATCTGGTCTGAAGACCTTCCGTTAGCAAATCAGAGTTTAAAGAGGAATGTGCTTGTGTAAATGGTAATCAAAAGAATGCTTTTGCGATCACCAGTATGTTGTCCAGCATCTTGAAAGTTATTAGTCTTTACCTATCAAGGGAAGTTGTGTGGATTCCATTGCACTCCACATTGGAGCCTTCATGATAGAATCAACTTGTTGAAGAGGCCTTGAAAGGTCAGTTAAATTGTATGCAGCATTGGATTTGCTATGTAGCCATGTTGTTGATAAATGGCATTATGTAGCTAGATGTCTGGTCTATAGGCATTTCAAGGAGAGTGATGGTGAAAATTTGTTGCATGGAGTTAAAATTGACACTAAGGAAGTTAACTATTGTAGACTCGATGCTTTGCTGAGCAAGAGTAACGTCAGTTGCTTTATCCATTAACCTCTACCTTACATATTTGAATAGAGCTGTTCATTAATCATGCCTTGTTTTCCAACTTCACGGAGAAATTGGCTGATTAAGAAGCTTAGACTTAGTGCAAGGAGATACCTGTCCAACGAGAGAAGGCCCAGTCATCTGACCTGACCTCCTGTATTAATATTCTTGAGTTTGCCATTGAACGGAAATGTGATTGGACTTGCCATCGTCGACTATCTGATTGCAATTCCAGGGTCAATGCATTGTCTGATCAGAGGCTTTTCAATATTATGAATATGTCTACTGAGAGTCAAGTGGAGAATGTGATTAAACACCTAGGAGTTGCATGTATGAGTATGGTCATAACCATACTCCAAGTTAGACATCATCTGGGACTGATCACAGGGATGATTGCCAGGTTTACACAACTCTCTTAATCCCATTCCTTAGGAAATTGTAGTTGCAGCGTGCATAGGCTGTAAGATGCACTACAAATACTGATCAAGGTTACTTCTAACAGTATCTCCTTCCCCAGTGGTCTCTTAGCTACTTTTGTGTCACTTAATAATATGTCATTGGGCCACCATTACCTTCAGTGTTCCCTCCCAGTTGTTCATTCCCCGTCGCTGGGTCAGTAACTTGACACCATGACCTCCAGGACTGTAACAGTTAAAGAAACTAGGGATATAGCAATTTTGTGCGATATAGCAATTTTTCTGAAGAAGGGTCTAGGCCCGAAACGTCAGCCTTCCTGTTCCTCCGATGCTGCTTGGCCTGCTGTGTTCATCCAGCCCTACACCTTGTTATCTCATATAGCAATATAAGGTAGCTTTGCCAGCATTGTTGACACCCGAGCATAAATTGATAAGGAATTGTGAGAGAATCTCAATGTGGAGGAAAAAAAATTATTAATAGTTGGATAAAGATCAAACAGCATGTTTACATATTTGTTCACTTTCTGTGCACCTTTATTTGATGGAAAATATGTTGGGAATGGGGTGGGAAGCAGATTAGATTAATACAGTCATAAACAGGATGATCCCAGAAGATTTGCCTCGAGATAAAATGTCTACTTCTGCTCGGCATTATTGTCTAGTCCATCAGTTTGGCTCTAACTCTCTCTGCTGAAGTTGGAACTCTTTTAAAATACAGCTTTTACTCACAATAAATTCTGTTACATTTTGTGACATCATACATACATATGGGAATTAGCTCACGTGGCAGGAAGGCTGGTTTATGGTGCAGAGTGACAGCAACAGTGGGTTCAATTCCTGTACCAGCTGAGTAGTTGGGAGAGGGGGCAAAAAGAGACACTGGGAAACAGGGTGAGAAACAGCTTCTGTGTTTCTTACTCAGTGTTCTGTTCCTGGACTAGTAATCTTGACCTTAGCACTTCTGGAATTTAAATTCAATTAAATAAATCTGGAATAGGTAAACATTACTGGTGACTATTAAGCTGTGGGATTGTCATAAAATTCCACCCTGTTCTTTGGCATCTTTTAAGGCAAGAAATCTGCTATTACCACCCAATGACTCCACTTATGATTCCAAACCGAAGCAATATTTATTCTCAACTGACATCTAAGATGGCCCAATAAGTCATTCATTTTCCAGAAGATGGCTCAGCACCTTCTCAGGCAATTAGATCTGCACTGTAAATGCAGGCATTACCAGCAATGCCCACATCCAATGAGTGCAAATACTGGTCATGTTATGATTGACAAGAGCCTACTTTAATGGTTCTAAAAGGGAACAGAATACTAAATTCACCCATTACTAAGTCTGACTTTAGAAAATCACAGTACGGTGGCTAAGTGGTTAGCACTGCTGCCACACAGCACCAGGGACCCATGTTCATGTTAAGTTGCCCTGTCGTGTCCAATGATGTGCAGGAAGGGCGGGTTAGCCATGGAAAATGTGCGATGACAGAGACTGTGGGGCCTTGGTCTGGGTGGGATGCCTTTTGGAGGGTCGTTGCAGACTTGATGGGTTGAGTAGTCTCTCTCTGAACTGTAGGGATTCTATGATTCTTAAGTCAAATATTTGCAGTGACAGTTAACCAGTAATATTGTAAAGATTGAAAACCAGACCGCAGCATTGTGTACATCTTTCAAAAGTCCAGTCTATTAATGTGCACTTTACAAAATAAAAACCCAAGCTGTAACTAATTTTAATTAAAGGTTATGGTGGGGTGGGGGAGGGGAGAAGGAGGTGGTTGTGATGGTGGGAGGAAGGGGAGGGACATGAGTGCATTGTTATTCATAACAGCCCTTGAGGAACCATTTGAATATGTTGTACTGCAACTGTCATTTGCATCTGAAGAGATTGCTATTTACTGGTAAGTAATGCTAAAGTGAGAATGACACATTCAGCTTTTTATTAAGATTCAGAAGTCTTGTCTTTTAAAAATGTAGCATCTGTTTAATTTACATGTACTTTAAACCAAAAGCTCTGAACTATCACATTACTGTCTCCCACAGAAAGGAATAGTTACATAGACTATAAATGTAATAGATGCAGAATAGTAGAAGTGGGAAATTTGTCTAGATTTTTTTTCCTTAAAAGGTGGGATAGGGGAGGGAGAATAAAGGGTGTGATTTCTGATTAATTCTATTTGCAAGCAGTGATTTTTATAAATAGTAGGAGATGGTGCAGTCTGCAGTTACTCCAGATTCTTTAAAATACCAGATTTCCAGACTTGTATTTAACTACCTTTTAGTGTGTATATTTTAAATTAGTTTTTTTTTAAAAACAGAATTATGCTTAGATCGTTCAGGTTCTATAATTAAATAGGAACATTAAAAATAATGCAACCAGAGCAGCATTCTTTGGGAGCACTGTGCATGCTAGAGATCTGCTTGATACATTCTTTTCAAGGAGGAGGTTGGGAATTTTTCAGCAGTCATTACGATCAGTGCAATAATTCTGGCAATACAGGAAGGCGAATGCATTGGCTGCTGACTGGGCAAAGATCACGTGAACTAAGTGAAACAAGCTGATGAGTTTTGTTGATATATTTCCTGTTTTCTGTTTTCCCCAGTAGCAAGCCGAGTACTTTAAATTTTGAAAGCTGTTTGGCTCAGCTTTAGTATGTAGTACTTTGTCTAATCTTCAAGAAGATCAAGGTAGAAAAAAGACTTTTTTTTTTAAAAGAAGAAATATTACTTTTAGCTAACTAGGTTGTACTTAGGTTTTTTATCAGAATGCCAGCAACGTCTTGGCAATTTGCCCACTTTCAGCGTTCTCATTGGTTAAAGGTAAGCATCAGTTTTTTTTGTGTAATATCTGTTCACTGTTTATGCTGACTTCCTCTACATAAAAAGCATATTACTGGAAGTGCTGTGTTAGTGACTATGCTTCTCGGGTGTGTGGGTGCAATTATTTCAGTTTTGCTTGCCAAAGATTATTTTTAGACATTCTCAAGATTAAAAGTTTTTTTTGCTTGAAGCAGCGTTGGTATCTGTATTCATTCTGAAATAAATATGTACATTTGTTACAAGGGTACATGTGATCATAAAGGGAAAAATCTATAATTTTCAGCAGTGGTACTATGTTGCATATTTGAGAAATATTTATCCATGTGACTAGTGACACATCCATCTGTTGACATTTTATTGCATGTACAGTTGTCTTAAGTTAATTTTACTTAAGTTAATGTCATGTCCAGCATATTCTTGTATCTGTTGATAACGGTATCTGTTAAATCAAGGTATTCATTTAATTGATCAGCAAAGTTTGAACAGGCTAGAAAATAGTGTCAAACTTCTGAAATATGCAAAGTAGATGCATGAGTCTGAATAGATGCTGTGTGTAACCCTGAATAATGTGGTGGTGTCTGAAAGATCCTTTCTCATCCTTATCTCTTTATCAACATAATGTTTGGATTTTGACTAGAATATATTTGAGAGTACATTAGTAAATTCAAGTCTGGTTTTCAACAGAACTCAGTGTACGGGAGATGGTACTAAATGGAGTTGGGAGGTTTCACCACAGTTAACTGCCACCTTTTTAAAGAAAAGTGTATAGCTGCAAGTCTAACCTCAGTATAAGAACAGAGAAGCACTTTATTTTATAAAGGAAAAAGCTTGGATAAAATGACAAAGAATTGCAGTGATTTTAAAGAAACAATTTTTGCTTTTCATAAATTGCTACTCCATTTTTCAAATCACTAGAATTGGAGCTGGTATAAATTGCAGTTTGTTCTTGATTATCTGGGTTAGAAGGAGGTAGTAACTATGGATTGTTGTGGTATCACAGCAACGAAAATATTTCCCCTCTCTCTTGCCCTTCCTGCTCATGACCTAATTCTACCTGGATTTATTCTGAATAAAATCTGTTATACTTCCTCCTCCATTTAACTAGCAAGCTGCCACTACCTTTGGAAGGTTAACACACTGAGCAGCTTTGTAGTACTGCAAATGTTTCTAAGCATAAAGTGAAAATTTGCTGAACTTAAGTGACAATCCTCTGCAGGCCACTCTGCAATGGACCCATGAATGATGCACAACACTTACTTAATTTAATGTTCTTCATTGACTTCCAGGCATCAACTTTGTCTTCACTTTTTGTGTAGCAACAATGAGCGTAATTTTAAGACTCAGGAATATGTTTTGACTTGACAAGTTCAAACTACCTGCTTCATACCACTACCAAGGATTAAAATTATTCGTATTGAGTGAAGAATTGAGAGATAAACCAACATTCTTCTGTTATGCGTATTGTCTCAATTTCTAACGTTTTAAAATTGTTGTGAGCTATTTTAAACATTTTTAAAAATAACTGTAGTCTTCATGTGATAACAACACCTACAGGATTGAACAAATGGAAAATGAGCCTTTTCTGATGAAGGGTCTAGGCCCGAAACATCAGCCTTTCTGCTCCTATGATGCTGCTTGGCCTGCTTGATTCATCCAGCCCTGCACCTTGTTGTCTCGGAAAATGAGCTATATAGTTTATCTTTGGCCACATGGAATGCAATGGGATCATATTGGTCTTTCATGATTTGTGTACCCTATTGCAGTTTGTGATCTTCCTTGGGCTGGACATCCATAGCTTTTGCAATAGATCAGTTCAAAAGACAAGATTTTGAGAATTTTAAGAAGAAATCTGAAGGTAGGCTACTGTATCACATTTTCAGAAGTGTCTCAAGTTACTTCATTGCCCTTTCCACTTGTGTCAGAACAAGTTGCTGTAATGAGGAAGAAAAGCAACAACACTGCAACATCACTTCTTACAGCCCTATTAGTTTTACCACTCACTGTTCATTTCTTTATCAGTTAAAGCAGATGCTTCCTCAAGTTGATGGAGAAAGCACGCAGTCTGCACATGCAGCTGCATTTGTTGTATAAGGGCATTTATAATCTATATGAATCATAGATATCTTTGAATGCAAATTGTACCATTGCAAATAAGAAGTTGTTACTAGATTCCTTGTTAGTGCCATAGTGGATATCAAACTTTCAGTACCTGAGATATCACACATTTAAAATCTGGGTTTTAATCTCCAAAGTAATTTGGAGTGGGGTTTGTCCTCTTTAATTTCTGATGTTGAGGCTAACATAGCACCAAGCTGATGAAATCCCAGGAATCTTTCACAAGCACCTAATAACCACCAGGGTCCAGCAATGGAATTTCACCAAGATAACATTCTGGGCAAAGTAGTTAGACCATAGTGCACACAGTTTGTTGGAAGGGATAAAGTACTGTGATAGCAGGTGCAGGGATATTTTCAAAAGAGCCTGGCATAGGACTTAGTGTATACACAAATCTTAATTTATATGATTTGACTAAATATCTGCTTAATATAATGTCTGTCAGGCATATCAGTAAAAGTCATCTTGAACCAGTATTTTTAGCTTTGATTTGAGTCCTCTCATTTGAAGTTTTAAGAATGTACAGTGTACAGTGTCTATTTTACATATCTAGGGTATCTGGAGCATTATTGGGCAAGTAATTTGCTATACTGACTTAATTATGACATGGGAGACCTGAACTATTTGGTGTTGGGTCTTAATCAAATACCCCTGCATTCATGGTAAGCTGTTGGCACAGTATGCAGTTAATCTACTGGACCGATCAAATTAATAGCAGTATTGCAGCACTTTTTTTGCAAACAGACTTTGGATTTGTTTCTCATGCTGAGAAAAGAAAGGAACTGCAGTCAGGACTCCCTGCATGTTTGGATGATGCAATTGTAGTAGTTATGGAGGAGGTCAGTTGTGAAAAGATGGTGCTCTTTCCTAGTGACAGGTGGTAGGTGTCTGGAAGAAGCACTGCTGAAATTTGGAGCGTGCCGCTGTTTGTGTTGGAAGAAGTTCAGTGAAGCAGCAAAGCTGCTCGGGTAATACTGTCATTCATACCCCACTGGTACATGTGTATTTAGTTCTGGTAATTGTTTTGGAGATTTATTTATTTCTGAAGTCCAAATTTTCTATCTGTGTCTGTAAAAATAACAGAAGATAACTGTGTGGATGGTGAAATTTTCTGGCTGTCTTTTTCTGTTAAGCCTTTACTGATGGTTTTCCAGTTTCTGCTAGTTAATGAAGCTAAGAGTACTCCAAACTGTGCTTGATAGGTTGATTGGCACCTATCCATAAGAAAACGATTACTATGCTCTATTGAAGCTGCTAATATGCTTATAGTTATTGAGAATTACAATTCCACCTTTCTTTATTATTACAGTTATATTAGATTAATCTCTGGTGTATCATTGGTAAGCCTATAGTTGGTACATTTTCATTAACTTGCATGTGACTTGAATTTTGTTTTCATTGTTGCAGGAGTAATCTCAATATTTTTTTTTTATTGTCTAATATGTTGGATGTTTCACTACACCAATCACCTGAAATTGGTAACAGAATTTTTAAATCTCACTTGGATGTTTAAGTATATGATCAATTGTTTTAATGAATTTGTCTGGCTTACTGATTTATTGACCATTTTAGATCTTCGGGTTGTTTTATCTTCCAGACATAGGAATGAATGATTTCTGTGGCAAAGATATAGTCTCACTGTTTAATGTAGAGGAGTTGTACATTGTCCTCCTATAATCTTAAAATTAGTGGTTTTCATCTTCATTGATGTTGTAGATTTGGGATTATCAAGTATAAAACTCTTCCTTTTGTGTTAGCAGTAATTTTTGATCAAAGAGCATGCCTTTAATTGTGACTTGTTTCAGGCCTCCTGATTGTTTATCACCACATCGTTTTGCCTGATTTCCATGAAAATTATTTCCAAAAAAAGGGGGCATTTTAAGTGCTCTAGAGTTTGTGTTCAAATAGAAAAACACTTCGCCACACTTTTTTTTCTCTTTTTTTTAAATCTAATACGCTGGTTTTATGAAAGATCGGATGGTTTTAACACAAGTGTTATATAGTACCAATTATAAATAAATCACACAATAGATAGAAGTTGAAAGTTACACTTGTCACAAGCCATTTTAATAATACTATTTGCTTGGCATTGTGCAGGCAGCATGTAACTATTCTGTTCTCTTTAGAACTTTTACAGTTTATTACATTATAAGATTACTTGTTTGCTTGTTTTCTAACTGGATTTACAGCCTTTACTTGAGAGAACTTGTTGCTTATTTACATAATCACAACACTTTAATTCAAATAAAGATAAAGATGTTCCCCAAAGCGTTGAAACAATGAAACATGTAGCTAGGGTATGAGAAATTGGGACAGGTGAGTAAATGCTTGGTTGCAACAAATGTGTTTGAGTTTTTTAAAAAAGATGGAGAGGCAGAAAGGTTTATGAAGATGTGATCACGGTTCATGATATGTTATTATTTGGCAACATGGTTTTTAACATTATAGCTTTAATTTTGATTTTATTTTTCTTTATTGTGTGAGTCAAGAAGGGAAGGGATTGGTTTCAATTTTGAGTTATGACACTGGTATCTGGGTGCCTAGAAATATGTTTGTGCACTTAAGCTTTAAAATATCTTGACGTGAATAGCTCATTGCTTTAGAAAAATTATGCTGTTGCAAAACAACAAAGTACCCTATGAAATAGACAAATGGAGACAATGGGCAGAATCTTATGGGTCTGAACAACCGGGGCAATGGTAGGATTTGTGGCACAATTGGCTAAGAAGTCTGGTGAGGCTGGTCGCAATGCAGTAACATCTTGAACCATTATTTATGAAAAGCATAAAAGATGTGGAGTGTTTCTTGCTAGGCAGTGACAGATTGGCAGTTAGGAGGATTATTGTTTGTTAAACACCTTGTTGATGGCCCAACTCACTTTGTTA